ATTAAAGACTAAATAGAAAGTGACTATCCTTTTAAAAAAATTAACTCTAGGAATCATTGCTTGCATACTAAAATCCTGGATTTTTTAATCAATCAAAAGCTCTCCAAATTGAAAAAAGCATTAAAATGTTATTAACAAGAAACTGAAGATAATGCATTTCGTATCTGTAAGAATGATCACATTGCCCACTATCAGAGCCCATCACTATGCCCAATTTTTCATATGAAAAAGCTGTCATCCATGCTGTTTTCAGACCACAATCCCATTCAAGCACACCAGTCTCATGTAAGTCATCGAAATGTACACATACAATAGGATTAAAATGCAACTCTAGTCTATAGTGTACTACTCTCATATGTGCAACTTAGCTGATTATATTATAGAATTCTAGAATTCCTAAAACATCCAAGTTAAAATGCACAGGGGAAGGATACAGTGACTAAGATAAGATTACAGTCAATTAATTACTGACAATAATTTTTATTTATTTATTTAAAATGTTTCTGCCCTGTCTACCACTGATGTCTCAGGATGGCTTAAAATAAAAAATAAGACAACAAAACAAACACAGCATCTGGCAAGTCAAGCTAAAAACCTCCACTAAAACAAACTAAACATTAAAATAGTGAGAAAATAAAAAGGGTTTCGCTGGACACCAGAAAGACTAATACACTGGAGCCAGGCAAACCTCTTTGGGGAGTGTATTCCATAGATGGGGTGCCAAATGAAAAGAATGAGATTGAGTATGTTTATGGAAAGGTAGTATCCACTTAAATCTATTTTATTTATTTTACATTTATTTCACTGATCTTAATATATCAGTATTTGTTTTTATAACTGTCCTCTGTACCAACATGTGAAAACATCTATGAACTAAACAATTTTGGTTGACCGGAAGGTTGCAAGGAAGTTACTTCCACTTTGGAACCTTCTGTCAAAGAGTGAACTGTCTAAAGGTTCCAAAGCCATGAGTGATGCATGCTTGTAAAAATGGGGTGGCACCTTGAACACTCCCATCACAGCAAGACCTTGGGCTTTTTGGGAGGAGCTTGTATATCCCAGGCGTCCATTTGTTACATTTGTTCCCACGATTCTACCATTTCAAAAGGAGAAGGCTTCCCATTTGTGGGACTAACAATTTTGAGAGGTGTGATGTAAGGATTTGCAGGAGAAACATTTTGGCAAAGTGAGAGCTACATTTTTCAAGTGGGATTTGGAAAGGATTAAAACCATCTATGCGAATAGGTAATACATAAATCTTACTGGAAATAATGCAGGCAGATAGAGTCAATCTATGCTGATAACTGGCAAAATGGGAATCATGAAAGGTAGTTTTGACAGCTGCTTTTCATGCTATCTCGCCTTGCCCCCCACAAATGTAAAAGGGAAGAAAGTTGCAGGGAGCACAAAATGACCTAAATTCTTGGTGAGCAGTACTCCTGCAGTGTCTGCTGGTATATCCATCAGAGAGGGAAGGGGAAGGGAGCAGTAACCTACTATGTGTTCCACTGTCTGTCAAGCACATCAGCTGATTTGCCCATGCCGCTTGGCTTATTTGGCAATATGGGCCTGTTGTGCCATCCCAACCATCCATTCCTAATCAGCACTGAACATGACAAGCAACTGGCTCGTGTCTCCACACAGCTTCCACTTTTTTTCATGTATCACTGGGAAAGCAACTTGCCTAATGCAGCAAAGCAAAATTGTGAGCTTGTGCCAGAGTTGGATTATCTTTTTGCTTATAGTGCTCAACACTAGACCACTTGTACACTAATGTATTCAACAGTATGCAACAGCACAGTTTTTTAAACACTGAATGGTTTAAATTGCTGAATAGTATAGCTCCTGGATTTCATTCCACTGAAGGGAATGGCAGACCCTTCCCTTCTTCTACAGAGTTAAGTATCCATGCAGGAACATAGATCAGGTAGACAATTTTGGCAGGAATTTTATGCTGTTTCAAAAAATGCTGAAGCACAGATTTATCAGGCCAAATTCACTCATATTTCACTGTCTTGTTCCATAGCTTTGGGGAAACCTAAAAAACGTATTTTAAAAAGCATGGTCTGATAGATGAGTCATCCCCCCTCTCTCCCCCAAGCCCTTTTCCTTAGTAACAGAAACTTGGGCTAGGCCCAGCCTGGAACCTCTGGAATTTACAGGAGCAGTAGAGTAGTTAAAGAAGGAATAGAAAACATCTGAATAAGTAACTAGAGAAGAAAATGGATATTACATCAGCCCTAGCCAGCATGTCTGGTAGACTATGGGAATTGTAGATCACAACATCTGACAATTCCTGGTTGGAGAAGGCAGAGCTACAGCGAAGAAGAGCTAAACCTGATAAATAATGGAAATAGTTGGTAGGCAGCTGCATGGAGAAATGAGAGTGGTAGAAAATGATGGAGCATTCAAGGAGAAGAGGAGCACAGGCCAGGCTTTAGCTAGGCAGCCCAGTGGGCCTGGAGTCAATCCTGGCTTGAATACGATTGTCTTACATAGATTCTGCTGGTATCTCAATTCAAAGATGGCACACCATTAGTGGATCAGGTAACCACTTGAAACATAATCATGTAGAGACATCATCACATAGCAATGTGTTTTGCATGAAAAGACCCCAACATCTGCTTGCAGAAATCTGATTCATGCCAACCTAACCCAATGGGATAATGGAGTAATGCTGGCATTCATGAAACTGCCACCATCTGTTTTTCACACCACAGCTTAAGTAGAGATGCCGCACATGACTCTATTTTAAGAAGCAACTGAGCTATTAGACTAAATGTATAAATTGGCTGATATGATGAATTAAGCAGTTTATTAATTCTTTCTGTGATAAATACTGTGTCATAACTTAACTGACTGTAAGCCTCTCCCTTTCAAATCCAAGAAACTGAATTAATTTTCATTTCCTTTGGGATTTAAGACAAACAAGAAGATACAAAAATAAGAAGTGTTGTACTAGATTAGACTGAACAACCGTCTAGTCCCAGATTCTTTTTATGTAGTGGACAACCAGTGGAATATCTTCCATATCCATGTTTTGTCACTATTATTTGCCTCACCTCCTCTGATTCTCTTGCTGAAAACATCATTCTATTGATCTTTGTATTATTCTTCTGCAGTAAAAAGATGCAAATGAAAAGAATCCATTCAGCTTCTCTGCAATCTTCTTATGTCCCTTTAGTACTCCTTTAACTCCAATGTTTACTCAGTCTAAGTAAAACATTGTTACTTTAGCACCAATACCTACAGTTGTAAGGGATTTCAGGTTAGCTCTTATTCAACCAAAACTCTTGCTTCCTGTTTCCTGGACACCACAATGTCTACTTAATAATGGTTTGTCTAAGTCAGCTAACAGGTGGAAGAGTAGTAATGCTACTGGTTCTTCTAATTGCATTTTGGCTATATCCAGTAATTGCTTCTTTTTGGGAGGAGGTTTCTAAATGTCTAAAACTTTTTATTGAAATAGACTTTAATATTTACTGATGCAAGTAGCCCTTTACACTATCTCCCTAGATAAATGGATTTTCCTTCTTGACAAGGGCAAGATTAAAATTACACCACTGGAAAGATAAATATTCACCTTCTGTGATGAGATGGATTCAGAACCTAATGATGCTTTCAACATTTGAACAGATGCCATGCAGATATCATTCCTGAATGGATACATATACGAATATTTGGTCTGCCTTTAAGTTTTGTTTAATTGAAAATTAAAATCTACCCACATAAAACACTATATATATTCTTTTTATAGTGTTCTTTTCACAGTTATAATAAAATAAATTTAAAATTCTCTTAATGGTCAGTTCTGCAATTCTTCAAATTGCACTGCACCAGTAACATATTACGCAGCTCAAACACAATCCTAAGCATACCTATCATGAAGCCAAATCCCACAGACATCAATGAAACATTTTGAAATAACATGATGTCAGGATTGAGTTACCAGGTGAAAACACACAATTTGAAGAAAAAATATCTGCTATACCAATCACCAAGTCTGGTTGTGGAATATTCCCTGCGAGTGGCTCACCTGCTGCCTTCATTTTGACCTTTCTGGTACCACATTAAAACTTCTCTTTTCCAAGGCATTTTAAAAATGTGTATGAACTTAAGGCTGATTTCTATGTATTGTAATAACTTCTGGTTTTTTGTTTTACAAATGCTGTATAATTTGGTTTCATTTTCTCTGTTGCTAACAAGAATATGTATCTTGTTTTATATTTGTGGTTTTCATTTCTGCAGTGTTCTGTGAGTCACTGCAGAATTCACTGGTAAAGGAAGCCAATATAAATATCAAAAATACAGAAATAAATGCAAAGCAACAATACTAAATACAAAAATATTCATAGTTCTAAAAATATTGTGCCATAACCTCAGTAGCCATTCTTTTGTTTTCACCATAAAGGTAAAGGTTTCCCCTTGACATTAAGTCCAGTCATGCCTGACTCTATGAGGCGGTGCTCATCTCCGTTTCCTGGCCGAGAGAGCCGGCATTTGTCCGCAGACAGTCTCCGTGGTCATGTGGCCGGCATGACTAAACCCCGAGGTGCATGGAACGCTGTTACCTGCCCACCGAAGTGGTATCTTTTTATCTACTTGCATTTGCATGCTTTCGAACTGCAAGGTTGGCAGGAACTGGGACGGAGCAACAGGAACTCACCCCGTTGTGCAGATTCAAACTGGTGACTTTTCAATCAACCAGCCCAGCAGCACAGCTGTTTAAACTATTGTGCTACCTGCAGTCCCCTGTTTTCAGCATAGCTATTTGCATAAAGCTAAGAATTAACCTTTAAGAAAACATTATAGATGAGCTACTGTAATGCTAAAGGATAAAAAGTTCTGGTGTAAAGATTAAAAATAATGTCAGCAATGTTTGTAATCTCAGCTGAAGTGCCATCTCATACACTGGCCCAACTTTTAAGCTTAGCACACATTTACTCAAGCACATAACATTTCACCTCCCCACACAAAACACATAAAGGGAGCATTCACACCTGTTTCCTCCGGTGAACTTGGAGAAGCGCTGTCTTGTGACAGAGTTGTCCAACTAGAGTCTTCATCACTAGGAGCCAAGTTCTGAATTCTGTGTAGTGCACAATCTGTTTTGGCACCAGTTTTTGGATGATCCTTTTTTGTCTCCGGACTGGACGATATGGTTGCTATCTGCCCATCTTCGGGGCTCGTTGATGTGTTTTGCTTCTGAGGCAACACTTCCCCATTCACAATCACCATGGATGACTGGCTGTTGCATTGAGTGGACAGTTTCTCCTCCCCCACCATTTGGCTGTTTCCATAATTCTGATCAACGTCTCTAGCTGATGTCTCAAGATCTGCATAGTAGTTTAGGAAACTCTTGGTTCTTCGGCGTTGGGTGGGGAGTATTTCACTGCCTGAAGAATCTTGCTGGTTTGGCTCTTTTCCCTCCAACTTCTCAGAAGTTATGTTTATGCCTGCAGCAGTTGTCGGAGCAGTGAGGTTTTTATTGGGATCCTGTTGCCCCTGCTCTGCTGCTTTCCTAAGCTGGTTCTCGCCATTCTTCACCAGCTTTATGTTGGAGGAGTTGTTACCCAGGAGGGGCTGCGCAGCAGGATCAGAAAGGCCCATGGCTGTTTGGAGGTTAGTCAATGCATATTTTTTCCTGCATTTTGGAGGGGTGCTGTTCTTGACTTCTGTGTGCTTTATTTCAGCATTCAGTAGTTCATTGTGGGAGGAGCGCAGGTGAAGGGTGTTGGGTGGAGTTGCAGGACCGTTCCGATTCACAAAATCCGTTGTGCTATTGCTTGCCATAAACCCAGCCAACGTTTCCACTCCAGAATCAACTGAGGAAGAAGAAGAAATACTCATGAGACATGCTTAGCATCATAATCACCCAGGAGTTAACTGTATCCGGAAACAACATTGGAAACCCATTCATATACGCAGCAGATAAATAAGCAACAACTATAGCATCTTTAATGTAATGGCAAGTCTGCACAGAAATGGAAGTGGCTAAGGGCTTTACGTCATATCTCTTCTTCGTAGTGCCAGAACACAACCTGGTATGTCCTTCTCTCCACTACTCTATACAGCAGATGGGAGAAATGAGGTACATATATATTCTTGTGGCCCTTCAGATGTCCTAGTCAGCATAGCCCATGATGAGCAATGATCCATGTAGGTCAAACCATCCGGAGGGCAATAGGTTGTCTCCCCACAGAGTAGGAGTAAATATGTGTGAGAAATCCAGTTTATTTTTGGATCAGCATTTTTCTAGTTCGCACCTACCAGGCCAAACATGAACTTGGACATAATCTGGACTTGAAGTCTGCCGATTTTTAAACTTGCAACATGATTTGTGGACCAAAACCGTACATGCAACAGCACATATGCATTTGAGAAATATGCATGAAAAAATGTCCCTCGGAAAAATAAACATAAAATCATTTTAAGCAATTGAAAAAGAACGTGTATATTTCAAAGATGCAAATAACTGATACATACATTTGGAAAAGCATGCATAAATTTTCATGCAAGAAGAGAAAAACAAAGCTCTTAATTGGATATAGACTGGAGTTGGAACAAGCTTCAACATGTGATTTGGAGAATTTGTTGAACTTAGGTTATGCTTATTTATTTACACATCCATAGATAAGGGCTTCAATCAAATACTAGCAAAAAAAAGTCCCACTGAACAAAATTACTGATTCTTTATAGTCTTTCTTTTTATCTTACCCTTGCTGTTTTAAGTTGATTTATTGTTGCTGTTGGTATTATTAATTTTATTTCTACACCATCCAACAGAAGCTATGATGTAGAGCAGCACATAAATACAATAATAATGATTAAGTATAAAATACAGGTACCAATAAAAGCATTAAAATTCACTACAAAATTTAAAAATGAACTTTAAAATAGAATTTAAACAACTGTAAAAGCTTTCATAAATTGAAATAGCAAGACCTGTTAAAGAGCTGATATAACTTTCCAGTGTACTTTTAAGAACTGACTAAAAGCCCTGCCATACAGGACAATCTTAACCTAACATCCAGCTGGACCTCAGTGGTAAACCTGTTTCATAATTGGAGGGCCAACTCTGAAAACAAAGGAAGCTGCCTTCTTGCTGCCAACAACCAAGCTTCCTTCACAGGTATCAAATGGAGACATGCACTAGATCTTGAACATAGTGTCCAGAAAGACTACCAATTTTGTGGTATTGTGGTCACAAGCTGTGTAGATTTTATGGTTTAAAACCAGTAACCTGAATTGGCCTCTGAAGCGTATAGGTAGTCAATGGAAGCAGCCCAGAATTGGTGCTGTTTGGAGCTTCTGATTCAAGTTTGTGGTTATTTATTTATCGATTTCTATCCTGCCTTTTTCCTACAAAGGGCTCAAGGCAGCTTACATCTCCTCCTCCATCTTATCCCCACAACAACCCTGTGAGGTAGGTTGGTCTGAGAGTCTGTGACTGGCCCAAAGTCACCCAGTTGGCTCCATGGCCAAGCGGGGACTAGAACCCAGATCGTCTGAGTCCCAGTCCCATGCTCTTAACCACTGCACCACACTGGCTCTCTGATTTTGCATGAGCTGCAGCTTCTGAAAAGTCTTTAGGAGTACGTTGCAGTATACATAGAGTGCGTTGCAGTAATCTATTTTAGTGGTTGCCAGAGTACAGATTTCTGAAACCAGGCTATTTCTACCCAGATAAGGACATAGGTGGGCCACTAGGTGGAGCTGTAGCTACATGCCACTGAGGACACCTGAGCCTCAAGTGACAAGGAACACCCCCAAATTATGAACCTCTTCCTTCAAGGAGAGTACTGAACAGGCTGAATGCCCTTCATGTAGTTAGAGGAAGTGCCCACTAACAGCATCACAGTCTTGATTGAGCTTCCATTTGTTAGCCCTCATCCAGACCATTGTTAGAGCCAGAAACCAGACTAGCACATCCATGGCCTCACTTGGTGATGAAAAGGAAACATAGAGCTGCATGTCATCAACATACATGTGGCAGCACAGCACACTCTAAAACTCCAGATGATCCCACTCACCAGTTTCATCAAAAGCATGAGAGTAAGACCAGCTCTTGAAGAATTCCATACTGCAGAGTCCAAGAGTTGATCAATATTCCCCAAGTGCAACCTTCTGTAGCCAACCATCAAAGTATGAGCAAAACCACTGTAACTGCATACCCTCCAGCCTCACCTCACAAAGCCATCCCAGAAGGGTACCATGGTTAATGAAAGCCCCCAAAAATCCAGAAACATCACAACAGGGTCACACTACCTCCCTCTCTCTCCCACCATAGATCATCACAGAGGATGACCAAATCTCTTTCAGTATAAAACCTCAGCTGAACCTTGACTGAAATGGATCTAAAAAATCATCCAAGAGTGAAACTTTCATCCAAGAGTACCTGGACCGGGTAGGCTACTATCTGCTCAAGGACCTAACCCCAGGAAAATGATATTGACTACTGGTGTAAAATTACTGAGATCTTCTAGGGCTAGAGAGGCTTTCTTCAGTGGTGACCTCATCACTAAGGATGTGCAAGGAGAGATGTTTTTAGAGATGTTATTATAATTAGGGCTGTACCACTACTGCTATTAAACAAATATATTGTGTGAAATCCAAAACCAATTATAGTTTATTTGTATGAATTTGTTGTATCCTCCCAAGCATTTAGCAATGCATATTCCCTTTTATACTTGTGGGTCTCCCCCCCGCCCCACACACACACTATAGTGTATCCATGGAGCAGCCATATAAAGTATGAAGTGGCTTTGATTTTGAGTGGGGGTTTGTTTACCAAACGAGAACTGAGAGACTTATGCAACTACGGAAATGTCTATACAAAAATGGGGAAGGGTAGACAGAACATGTCCATTTGAATAAATTATATGTTTCTGGTAAGTCTGCTGATCAATGATAAGTTCTTTGTACTTGTTAAAATAAAGCATCTGGCTCAAATGTTGTCTTTTGCAATGTTGACAGAAAACAGAAGATCATCTGATCTGGCTTTCATAATAATGGTCAGTGTTTTCACAGACACAAAATATACTTGAAATATTGTAGTAGAATATTATGTCAATCTGAATGTAAAAGAGCATGGGTCTCCAGCCTTTATTGACCTGTATACTATGGCTCCTTAACCTTTTTCAACCTGTTAGCACAGTTGGGAATTTAAGAAACTGCTGTGGGGACCATAAAAGTTCTCATCAGTGGACTGCTGTCCTTGCAATAACATCTATGGATCTTAGACTGCATCTTATTTTATAAAACTGTAAGCCACCTTAGGCTTATTGGAAAAGGGTGTTCAGGAACTTTAGCTAGTTCAGAGACCTGTTGCCAGACTCCTGGCTAGAGGGAGCCGACAACTCTTCTGTTGAAACAGCTTCATTGGCTCATAGTTTGTTTCTAGGCACAAATTAAAGTGCTGGTGATGACCTAAACAGCCTTATACAAATTGCATCCAGGCTACCTTGAAAGACCATATTCTTCATTATGAGCCTTCCTGGGCTAGAAGCTCTTCCAGGTAAGCTTGGTGGGAATGCAGGAGAAGGCCTTCTCAGTGGCTACCCCAAGGCTCTGCAACTACCTTTGTAGGAAAGCTAGGTTGGCACCTTCCCTGTTGGATTTCTGAAAAGATTTTTTTTTCATTTTATTTTTATATTGCTGGCTAACGCTTTTAATTTGGGTATTTGATTTATTTTAATATCTAACTGATTTAATCATAAGCATTTAATTTCAAACTGATATTAACTTTTGTATATATTTTATGTTTTAACTGTATGAATTTTAATGTTGTAACCTGCCTTGAACCCAGATCACTGAAATGCACCCACCCTCTTAAGGATTAACAGCCATATCTGCAGAAGAGAATGGATATCTCTAATGGTGATGGGGGCAGAGAAACTATTCAAGGGCATCTGCTGGGCAGGAGCAGCAGCTGAAGGTGACACTGGTGAACCGTTGCTGGCAGACAGTGGCAACAATGCTTAAACTAACTTTGGTTAGTTAATATGCAGAAGGCAGCAGTAGTAAACTACTTCTGAATTTGTCTTACCATGAAAACTGTAAGATGAAACAATCCAAAATGAAACTAGAGATAGTGCCTGAAGATGAGATTACCAGGGTGAAAGGCACTGAACCCGCTCCTGGTAAAAAACAAAGGAAGTTACACGTACCACTGTCACTGATGATGCAACTAGAGCAAAGTTGAAATGAAGTCTACTGGCTGATGTGCACAGAGTTAAAAGGAAAGTCTGATGCCACAGGATCCATACAGTTAGAACATGGAAAGTGAGAAGTAGGAGTCAGGACAAACTGGAAAGCATAAAGCAAGAAATATAATGGTTAAACACTGCAGTACTTTGTGGACTGGAATGGGGCATTATCAGGCAAACACAAAGTATTTTACTCCAGAAATGACACACTTGGAAGAAACAGAATAGTTCTAATTCTGAGATAAGATGTGGCACAGGCTGTAAGGATAATTATATTGCAAAGGCTGCCTGAATGATATCAATCAGAATTTAGGGAAAACCTACCAACATATCTATCATTTAAGTCTATGCTCCAACAGCAGATGCTAAAAACTTTTAGGTAAGCATCCAAGAGGAAATCTATAACACATTAAAACAGGACATGCTGATTGTCATAGGCCAGAAGATGGAGAAACAGAATGTTTCCCTATTGGCAAAGGCGTCAGGCAAGGTTATATTTTATCTCCCTATTTGTTCAACTTGTATGTAGAACATTTCATAAGAAAAGTTGGATTAGGATCAGAAGAAGGAAGAATTAATATGTACAGAAGATCCATTAGTAATTTAATGCAGGCAGA